GGTTTTCATGAGCTGTATGCCATAATCATGACAATTATGACAAATCACAGCTTAAACTATCTTGCTTTGCATGTAATGAGGTTATCTCATGTATTAGTTTCACCTTTTAAGTTACATTACTGAAATAAATGAACTTTTGCTCGATATTCTAATTTTTCGAGTTTCACCTGTAGGTACTCATGATTGCATAGACATGTGGCATTAAGTCTTCTTCCATGGCGGAAATCTCTCTCTAGCCCTTTTCACTTAAGCTGCTGTACAATTGTAACAAATGTCACTTGTAGAGCAAAAATAGCTGAGGTAGTTCTAATTCTTTAACTGGGATTAGTCAAAAAAATCAGAGTTAAAAGATTATACCAATCACACTAAATTTGATACAGCATCTCAACCTCAGCCTGCTGATAGAAAATGAGAATCTTGAACTGCAGGAGGAAGGGACAGTAGCGGTAGTCCTTGACTTGCAACCTTTTGAAGTTACAGCAGATATAAACCAGTTCCAAAGTTCCAGTGCCCTGCCACGTGACCGCATTTTGGAACCTGGCAACTGATCCATCTTTACAGATGTTTGCAGTGCCCCATGTTCACTACAGATGGCTACAATTTCCTTTTTTGCCATAAAAGGGGGCTTTATTTCTGGGTTTTGGCAAAAATGTCCAGTTGGTGAACAATAAATTTGCTTCACCACCACCACAAAAAAAGATGGGGTTGATGTCATGGGTGAATTGCTTTACAATCATTACAACTTATGACTCTTAATGGGCAGACTCCATTATGGTTGTTAAATATAGTACTATCTGTATCAAAATATTCCGATCTTTGCTATCCACTTTCCTGTACTAAACTATATCATGGTAAACCTTTGCCTGGGGCCTAGAAGAGTTTTCAGCCTTCCATACGTATAAATCATAAAATGGGCGATATTCACATGTAGCTTGCAAAACCTAAGTATTTTTGCATGTTCTGCTACTAAGTTTGTGCTCGGTTTCCAAAATGTCTCTTTAAAGCATGTAATGTGCTATGCATGCTTACTACGTAGCCTTTTAGTCATTGGTATTCTCAGGGAAAAGCTCCCCATAACAAAATAGGAAGTTGTATCATGTTTTCTTATTCCTTGCCTTTTTTTCTTCTTCTAATTCACTAAAATCAAGATTAAGCACTGTTAATTGTGAACTGTTCAAACACTTGAAGGCAATTTCTCAAAATGGCTGCAAACACAACCCTACACCTGAAGCTGATTTCCTATGGAAGCTTAACAGGCATGTGAGATGAGTTGAAAGCTCGGAGGACTAGTCTGAGAAATGAATTATATGTTTGAAATGGAGTTTACCTTTGGAGCACAGCGAAGGTATTTATTGGAAATCTTTGCAAGAGATGGTATCAGCCCTGATTGTCCACATTGAAAAATATTGAAAAAGAACATTAAAGAGTTCTGCTGGATTATATTGTAGCTATGCCCAAATCAGCATCCTATTTCTGCAGGCAAAAGCTCCAAGACAAACTCCCATCTCGCCCTCAACATCCATGTTCTGCTTCCAAGTTGGAAATTCTTTTCAAGTTATCATGGGGCTAATAGCAAGGGAGAGTCCTAGTCTCTCTAAAGGTGGCACATTTTAGGAAAGGAAATTCAACCAATTCATTGTAGCACATGATAAAATAGTTCTGAACAGCACACTCTGTCCATCATTACAATTAGATGCCCCTGAGTAATTTCGGAGAGAAATGTCCATTTTTCCCATCCCAGAGAGAATTAACAATGCTTGTGCTTCTCCAGTTCAATAAAAAATTGCAATGCTTCCACCTCAAGTTGGATACTTAACTGTTTTTGTAATAAGGCATAGCATGGTGCAGGGACATCTCATAGAACCCCTAAGTCAATTACTATTTACCCAAAATATTCTTGCTGAAATAAAAAGTAAATACAATATAGTAATTGGGATAACTTCTAGTTCTGCATTTATACACAATGACACCAGCATCTGATTTTCTGTAAAGGTTCCCATCGCACATATGTGCTAGTCATTCCTGACTCTAGGGGGCGGTGCTCATCTCCGTTTCAAAGCCGAAGAGCCCGTGCTGTCTGAAGACGTCTCCATGGTCATGTGGCCGGCATGACTGAATGCCAAAGGTGCACAAAACACTGCTACTTTCCCACCAAAGTGGTCCCTATTTTTCTACTTGCACTTTTTAAATGCTTTTGAACTGCTAGGTTGGCAGAAGCTGGGACAAGTAAAGGGAGCTCACTCTGTTATGCAGTTCTAGGGATTTGAACCGCCAAACTGCTGACCTTTCTGATTGACAAGATCAGCGTTTTAGGTGGGACCAAAGGTGCACACTTAACAGGAACACCCAGATAAACTAGAGAGAGAAATATTTAAGACTAGACCCATGCCCACCTATATGGGAATAAATTCTACTAAACCTGAGATTATCAGGGGAGGGGGGAATGCAACAAGTAGATGGTCCTAAGGCAATTCCAGCCCTTGTTGTTTGCACATGGAATATCTTATTCAGAAATTGATCTTAAGCACAGGTGCAGTTTGTTAGCTTCATGTTCCTAAAGAGCCACCATGCACTTTTGTGTAGGAAAGTATGCTTGGATAGCATTGTGGCTTCACTATGAGTAGTCACATTCGACTAAGGTAGCCAAGATTGGTTCCACCACAAAACAGCGGTCGACTAAAGCACGCTTGACGAAACCGCGTACCTGACGTCATCACAGTGCGACGAAAAAAGCACGCTGTGAGCGCTAAAGCTAAAATTAACCCCTAAACCTAAACCTAGCCCCCCGAAACCTAACCCTAACCCTAAACCTAACGCTAAACCTAACGCTTAACCTAACCCTAACCCTAAACCTTAACCTAACCCTAAACCTAACCCTTAACCTAACACTAAACCTAACCCTAACCCTTAACCTAACCCTAAACCTAACCCTTAACCTAACGCTAAACCTAACCCTAACCCTTAACCTAACCCTAAACCTAACCCTTA